TTAAAGTTTTTAACCAATCAAACTAATACTTTGGAACAATGTTTAGAACAACTAGAACAACATGGAACAACCTTGAAAAGTTCGATTTTTGAAAAATGGGGTGCCAGGTCAAAAAATTGTATTTTTTAATTTTCCGCGAAAATTTTTATAATATAAATTTGATGTTTTGGAACAATTTAGAACAAGTCTAGAACAACCTGGAACAACCTTTAGAATTTTAAAATTTCAGAAATGGAGATTTATTCACGTGACATACATGATTCATATAATCATACATCGCTGATCTAGAAGATATATACTGAATTTGATGAGTCGGATAAAAATAATTTATCATAGGAAAATCAAGCAAATGCTTTTTGGCGTTTACTTCCTGTTAACACTGTTTGCTTTATTATTTATCTTCTTATCTATGCGATCTACACTCGATTCCAATTTATTCTATCGTTTCGGCACGATCATCGAAAGTGAAGAGAGAATGCCAATCGCGCCGTCTCTTTTCTCGTCAATGCGCGGCTTTACCTGGAATAAACGAGTCGCGCGTAATACTTGGGAACTCGTCGCGATCTAAAAGGAATAATCGGTCGTTCTTTGTGCACAAGGTCTACACCAGGAACGCGCGCGGCATAAGGGGACACGTGGAGGCATACGTGGCCGCCTTCGACAAGCACTGGAATCTCGCGCTAGAGGACTGCTTCGAAGTCTGGTCCCGCAAAGTCAAGAGGAAAGCGCCCGCTCTCGGTGTGTACGATCATCCTATCAAAATCTCGAATAATCCATCAAGGGTCATAATAACATTGTAAAGACTTTTAATTAAATTACCTTCGCGACTGTTCCTATTTTCTTCAAAAAACGTCACGTTGATACGCAAAACTCGTTAATTTAAGATAATTTGTCTATATAGAGTTTTTTTATAGAATGTTATTCATTATGAAAATTATTTTATTTTTGTAATATCGATTTTTTGTCCCGACATAATGAGACGTTTGCCGTTAATGGATTAAGTCGAGAAATGTTATTACTCATAAAATCGATCATATTACGAGTATATGTATATAAACGACCCACGTTTCCACATTGCAGCTACAGATTCTTTATATAGTATAGACAATAGAGAATTGATTATTCTTTATCGTTGAAATATCGAAATACTTTGTTAATTGAGCAATTGTTAATTAAGAAACCTTTACGAATAAAGTTATAAAAAAAACTGCGAAATAAACCATAATATCCTTAATAATAGCTTTCATATAATTCCGAATAAATCTTTCTTCAACAGAATTGTGCGCGATGAAAATTACATAATTATATTTGGTATTTATAACAAGCTCAAGCTCTAATTTTTGTTACGTTGTTTCGTATACGACTGTTTATTATCTTACAATTATAACAGTTTAATGTACCTAACATAACTATAATGGAAACAATTATAATAATCTTGTTATATATTTTATGTTAACGATCACATTAATGTAAAATACATATGTTTCATATTTCTTGAATAATCTAAAAAATCTAATGATAGAAAAACTAAACATATTTGCATAGAATGTTTACATACTCGATCGCGAGCATTGAGATTACATAGAGTTACAATTTTCATAATTATTACATAGAACATTTCTACTGTTTAATTCCTTATGATCAAAGATAATTATATTTTTTAATCTAAATATTTTCAAGGATATAAAACAGAAAAAACAAAGCCTTCAGTATCTTGTTTGATTCATTCGAGGCCGAATCTGTTTTCAAAGATTTTTTGGGAGAAAGAAAATACAACGAAATAAGAATCGCGAAATTTTCGATATGACAACAATAATATAACGATGCCATCAAACGATATGCTCTTTCATCCGAAAAATATTTGCGCGAATATAATTCAACGCCGTTAAAATTCATATAAGCACGGCTTCATTTATCAGCAATTACAGATTCCCGACGTCTTAATAATCGCCCTCGGTGCATAAACGTATAGAATGTGAATGTTATTGCGCAATGCGTGGGAAAAAAAACGCAAGTGTCGGAAAAGCGCCGACCGATCGATTATCCTTGCCTTCTCGCACGCTTGCAAGTTTGTACATCTTGCAGCGATATAATACGACGACGCGTACGCGAGAGATCGAGATACTAATCGAGCTGGGTACACGATAAAAAGTAAGACTGTGAACTACGTAACCTCCAACATTTCTGAGGCCGCAGCGCGATTCGGAGCGTGAACGGGATGACCCTATGAAAAAATTCGTACGATGTTTCATACGATGAAATTCACACGTGTTCCGATGACAGGCAATAATGCTGAAAAAGTCCGCCTGGAGAATCTTTGACATCACGCTTTTCTAACTTATACAATTGATATATACTCATATAATTGATATATACACTTTTGTATATATATAATTGATATATCGTTCAAATTAAAAAAAAAAAATGATATTTTCTAGTATCATACAGTTTTTATCGCGTAAATATTTCGATAATTCCTTCATTTTAAAGATACTTAAAATATACATATATTAAATTCATGCAAAATTTTTACCAAAATAAAATTTTTTAGTTTTCTTTCCAAGAAAATTGAAAAATTACTCTTTTTACATAAAATATATATATTGGAACGGCTGGCGACTGCTTGATGATTGATAAAGATTATTTCTGGAAATTGTGTAATTATTTTCGTTTTTAACTGTATTTGACAAATATGACGAATCTTTGGCATCAATCTAGTAAAGTTTTAATATATAAAATGTGTATCTATGTGTGTGTGGTGTTTGCACTCGAATTAGTCATATAGAATAAGTCTACTATTAATCGTATATTTTTTCAACTGATAATCTACGCACAAAAGAATCTGAAATTCACAAATTTATCTCTTACAATTAGTTTGTTTGTTGCCGTTCGTTTGCCATCTGGTATCGGCGATACAAAATGACATAGACAATTCGATTATCATCGGATCATAATTGATGAAAGTCGCTTCAACTTTAAATTACTTTTTAAAACCTCGCCGACACGCCATTTTCTGTTTCTATTATTTATTTGATCTCGAGTAATAGTCATTCTTATTAATTTGCATAAATCAAACTAACAGTCATCATTCGTTCGTTTAAGCGGTCTTTAAAAATTCGTATATAATTCAAAAGTGCACGATGAGAAAACGAAACAATCAGTCATTATACTTTTTACGTATTTTCCTGAGTCGTGAAATATACATTATTCGTTTAACTCGATACATATTTTGTCTTCGATTAAAAATCTGTTGACAAATCCTAGTCTTTGTCGAAAAATTGTACGGTAAGCTTTTCGCTATCGGTCTGACTATGAATGACTTCTACTACTCGCACGCGTCCTTCGATTCGGTCTCTCTCGTTGGAGTTACTTTCATTATTTTTTTTTTTTTTGTACACACATATACTATAACAAATCTTTATGGAGGGCCGTACAATGGTCGCGAAAGTCAGTCGGCGACTTTCCGCCAGGTGGTCGAATAATGGATTATTCAACGTTATCAGTCGCTGATCGATTCAGACGCGTGCTGTTCAATCGAAAGGTCAGCATTCAAATTTGTCGTTAATATTCATTAATTGCACGATGAGTATTCGTTTCAAATTCAATTACTACGTGTTGATATCGCGCGGGTGGCATTCCATTTCGTATTCCTTCATATTTTTATTTTGAATCTCCGCGCGTTTACACATTAACTTTATCATTTAATCAATTATCATGATTAAACTTACTTTTCTCGAAAACTCATTCCACAAAGTAAATATCTTATCATTGAGTAAAATGCAAAGCATAAATTATCTCTAGAATCTTTCAAAAACTATCATTTAGCCAGGATATTTTTATAAAATTTATAACATTATTTGTTTATTACGTACGATTTTATATACTGAGAGAAAAGGAAAAGAACTAATCCTCGTACTATGCGAATATGTATACAGTGCGCGAAAGTTCAAGATTCAGTATTTCTATTTCTTCGATCTGATGAGCGAATTATTTCACGTCCCTCGACCGTCATTTTTTCACAGAAGAATAACATTTTACTCATCGCGGCAAAACTGATTCACTTTTAATCCGTGGGATCCGTGGGATCTCGCCGTTCCTCTCTCGCTACGCGAATCGATAGAGTTTAACGAACTCCGGGAGTGCGCGCGCGCGTGTGATCCGCTCTTTATTTACACCGCGCGGCAAAAGGGCGGTAGCCGGAGCGGAGAACAGAAGAGAAGGAAGGGTCGTCGTATCGCGCGCGCGAAGGGGGATAATATATCCCACTAAGGTCGCCGCTTTGCGGCAGGAGAGCAAGGACCGACCTTGACTACATTATAGTGGTCGCCGCTCGCGCGCGTTCGATACGCGCGTTCGAGGAGGAGAGCCCCCCGCCTGAGGGCGGGAGACGCGGGGCGGTTGCCCTCTCGCGTGCGCGCTTCCTCGCTCGTGTTTCTTCTCTCCTCTTACATCTTTCTCTCCGGCGTGCTGTTTCTTCTTCTTCTTCTTCTTCTTCTCCCCCTTCTTTGCCTCCGACTTCCTCCGCGCCGTCTCTCGTAAGTCGACTCCCACGCGACGTTTCCCCTACGCCTCCCCCGCGTCCCTTTTGACCTAACAAATTTCCTCTTTCGTCCTTTCCTTTTTTCTTCTCTTTGCCACGTGCCCTCCAACCTTCGGCCTCCCGTTTTCATTCATCCGTACCGGCCGTGTCAAACACGCGATCTACGTCGAACTTTTTACATCGAACCTTTCGTTTCTATGTACAAAAAATTGTTCGGAAATTCGCTGGCACCTCTTTAAACCGTAGATAGGAAGAATCGAAAGGTACAATAAATCGATACATGTGATGATACTGATATTTTATCTATAAGCGAAATATCACCCGAGAAAATTTTTAATCTTAGATATTCAAGGTATATTTTTAAACAAAATTTCGTATTTAACGAAAATGTATGATTTCGTTATCTATTAGCACGTATTTAAGGAATATATTATACTATAGGAAATATTGTAGCTTTGTTAGTTTAAAGAAATTCAATTAAAATGGATAAACTTCGAAAATGGATAACATCCGCTGGATAAACTTTCTCTAAATTTCTTTAAAAATGTGACCTACTTCCCCGAAGATTGAAATCGGAATTGTTCTCCGGATTACATATTCCGCGCGTTTTTTATTATTTTTTCGAGAGAAGAATCACCAAGTGGCTATCAACACCGCTTAAAATCTAGCGATTTTTGTCAGACATATCGGCGTTTGCTATCTCGTGTCTTTTTCGTCAATACACGTGTCGCGTCTCGAAGTTTGCGGGCTTTCCCCAACAATTTGATCGAACAATCGGGTGTTGTTTACATCAACCAAAAATACGATGTTTGAGGTTAAATTGACAAAAGTACCTTGATAGAAATTTAAACACGCGCGATTACGCATCGATCTTGCTTATCGTATATATGATATATACGATTCGTAATGCATGCGATTATAACAAACGAGATGGTCGACCATTGTTTTTCCGGCATCGAAACAAAATGGATAAACAGAATTTTCGAAAATATATATTTTCTCATTTAAATAAAATTTCTAAACTTTGAAATTATTTTAATAAGGATGAAGTGTTGACCCATACAGATATCGTAAATTTTGTATTATATATAAACTTCTATAATAATACATGAGATATATATGATCCCATAAAAAACATTAAATTAAAACGATTTATAAGAGAATTCTCTTTTAACTACTTATTTTATTTGATCTAATGACGATTTTAATAAAGAAACATTCCTTTATTAATAAAAAGCTTTATATTCTTAATTAAATCTAAAAACTTCCTGTGATATCTGTTGTGGGTTTTTTTCATTTACAATTTAAACAAACTATCCCTGGAGGAGATTAAGAAGCAACAAGATGATGTGTTGCATGGCAACGTGAGGAAACAGGTGGCAGAGGACCTAAACTCTTTCCTCCGTCGTCATATTTATGGCGATCTAAAAAGCGACGCCACGGGGGCGGCGCGTGTATAGTTTCTCTCTTTTTCTCTTTTAGCGCGCCGAGTTCAGGGCTAGTTGGCCTACTGACGTACTTCGGGACCGTATCGCAAAGGGTCGCGAGGTCGTTGATACGGGAGGAAGGGTGGAGGGACGACGGGCGACCTTGAAGAACAGCCTACAGGATCGATGTACACGTGTCCTGTTGGCTCCTGCCACCAACCGTCCCCTTCCGACCCTCTCGTGGCTCTTCCGTTTCCTCCCTTCCCCGCACCTCGCTCCCCCCACGCACTTCTACGGACACGTGCTGGTATATAAACAACCTTCCCAGACTTTTCTCGTGACCTCAGTGACATTTTCATTCCGTGCTTTTTCCACGACATCAAATACATACTTTCAACAGCATTTCCGGTCAATATCTGCCGTATTCAAAACCTGGAATTTTTATCAAAAATTGCTTATGCAACGCATCTATAAACTCGTTATTCTGGAGCTGAGAGTTTCGAATTATATCAATAAAAAGTTTATCATAAAATGCTTTGAAAACTTGTGATTAAAAATGTTTAATATTACTTCAATGTTAAATTTGTAATATCAAATTTAACATCAATTTTGAAAATCTTATTAAACTGCTCTGAAAATATGACGATCTCTTTTTACGTTTTCAGTAACCTATAAAAAATGTACACTTTTGCAAAATGTCGACAGAAAATCGTAAGCTCTTAACGATATATATATATGACACTAAATGAAACATTTTTAGAATAAATAAACGACAGAATTTGACAGATTGAAATACGATTGTGTCGTTATTTTTCGGTCAAACTGACAAGTATTATTCGCATTTACGCGCGCATTCTCATATCGAATTTCTAAAGAAGTCGTACCGTTAGAAGAAGGAAATATGCATCGGGAAATACATATGTCGCGAGGACTCGACAATGCATTTTTGATTCAGGTGCTGATGCAGTCAAGGTAGAGGCGGCAGAAAACGGTATCCCCAAGACGGTGGTAAGGAAGGAGCGAAAAACGGAGACCTTGGAGAGACACGTGCCACAGATGCTGCTGAGGGGAGAACAAGTCGCTATAATCATCAAAATCAATTGACTATTGCCTTAAGGGCCGTTCCAAGCACGTGCGCCCAATTGTATAGCCAATATAACAACAATTTTTCTGTTATCTATCATCCGTTATTTATTCCTTTATGTTAAAGCTTATACGAGTATTGTATGACAAATATCTCATGCAAAAAAGTTCATTCGCGCATGAAATCCTCCTAGATTGTACGATTTCCTCACCTCGAAATTTAATAATCGAATAGCAAACGCCAGTATCATCTGGTTATGCAGCTGCATTGTGATCTGCATAATTGAAATTTTCACTCGAGCGATCCATTTGTTACTCCTCGCTTTCTTCTTCGACACGATATATCTGTATAATATTTGTAATAAAAAAAAATTGTAAATTTTTTTTTCCAAAAATACGTAATATAATAAAATTTGATGTTTCTCTTTCCCATTTATTCCGTTTCTTCCCGCTATAATTAATTTTCAACACGATACCCATGCACAGAGGCATACGTATTATTACGCGATTACGTCAAAGAGTATCGCGCCCCTGAAATTATACGGGGAATAAAAACCTGGAGGACGCCGAGACTGGACTCTCTCGCAACGCGGATGTAAAGGATTCCGACAAGAGTGAAAGAAAAAGAAGAAAAGAACGTCGAGATGAAAAAAAAAAAAGAGCGAAGAGGAAGAGATCAATCTACATAGTCGACGTGGCCTTCGGGCGTGCGTATATACGGTAAGCGGCAACGCGGAGGAGTAAGAGTCGATAAAGAGAATCCGCTCTAATCCGCGGATCGCGCGAGCATCGAACGAGGAAGTCGAAGGCGGCGAAGAAAGTTAATTCGCGATTGTCCGTCGTTCCACCGTGACTAACTCACGCACCGCGACGAGGGACTGGTTTTTCCCTTCTAGCACTCGTCGCCCTCGTAAATGTCTCCTTCTCTCTCCTCTCCCCTTTCCCTCCCCTCGAATGAAGCGGAATGCGTGTTGCGAGAAATAAGAAAGTCTCGATGTTGAATTACGGTACCGGAGCGACGTGCACGTCGACGGACGGATCGGCATTCGCATGAAAACGGCACGACGTAGATGATTAATATTCGTTGTTCGCTATTAAAGCGAGGAGAGAGAGAGAGAGAGAGAGAGAGAAGGATGGGGGGATGAGGATCGATACTTTTCGTTTTCCAATTAATTTCACGCGATTGTAAACGTTTCCAGGAATTTTTAGGAAACTTTGGGATAAAAATAGTTTTACATATGGATTTTCATCGATAGCGGATGAAATTATTGGAGAGATTTTAATTTTTATAATTATGGTATCGATAAGAATGATTTGCAAATTTATCATATTTATAATATATGAATTTGTTTTCCATTCTTTAGCGAGCATTACTATGATAATGCTTCTTTAGAAAGAAAATTATGTAAAACTGATATGCAGTGAAACCTGAAATATAATAGCATGTAATGAATTAATGAATACATAAATATATAAATGGTGTGCATAAATATATTTGTTAAGTGCGCGCGGGACTTGTCCTAAGCATGGCGCACTTTCTCTCGAGCGCAAATACTAAAGGCCAATTCGAGAAGGATGCTGGGCTGTTTCATGGTCGGAGAGAAACATCGAGATTAACATATATTATAGATATCAGTTCTTTCTTACTACCTATTGTCCACGATTGATATTGATCAACACAGAATCAATCTCTTTGGCATAAAAATGTCAAGATCGTAATAATTCTTTCGAGTTATAAACGACTGCAAATTTAAAAATTTTAAGTTCCCACAAGACAAAAAGGTATAGCAAAATTTATTTTTCGTTTAGTTTACGCCGACTTTTTGTTAATAGAATTTTAATTTAAAGATTAATAGCCGTAATATACTTTGATAAAAAAATTTAATAAAAATTTATCTCTTATATTAAACTTTTTAAAATCGACAAGTCCGACTCTATAAAGGCATTAATAGCCGCGTGTATTTAAGGTTCATTCAACTTTTGCGTGTTTACACACGCGAGCATTATTGCCAAGAATGGCGTTGAGATGACACGTCGACTATAGTGTGTGCACCGCGTTACACCGCTATTCTTCCATAATTGCGTCTCATGCAGCACCATCAATTTTCGCCCCCCTCCCCTCTTCTCTCCCCCTCGTTTCCCGCGTCGAAAGAAAGCAACGGAGGGCAGAACGTATCCCTAAGATTCAACACGGAATATCTTCCATATACGAGGCCGCATTTCCTCGTCGCTTCGTTCGCGCGCGCGCGGCCATTGCTCCATTAATTACCTCTGAAATCATATTTTTCCGCTCGCAATATCGCGCGCGCACCTTCTGCGTCGCGGAAAAGTGCATCTCGTGGGCACGGGGCACGGTGAAAGCACGAATGTCCCTCCCTCCTTCCCCCCTCGGCCCCTAGATCACGAACGGCCAGGGGAACGAACGCGCGTTCCCGGGGGGCCCTCTCACTTTCGCTCTCCGGAGAAAGTCCGCCGCTCGCGCCCTCCGCTGCCCCCCCCCCCCTTACCCTTCTCGCTCGTTCCCCGTCGTGCTGCTTCGCGATATCCTATCGCGCGTCTCTAAACTCCGTAAAAGCGCTCGCCATCGCACTCACCTCGACGACGAGAACTACGTTGCACGCTGTTGCGAGCTTGTCTCATCCCCCTTCGCCCCCTCGCTTCTTTCGCCTACCCCTCCCCCTCCCCCCCTCCAACCGACCGACCGACCCATCTCTTGCGTCCGCGACGGTTCTTCTGCGCTTCTTCTACGGTGTGCTCTCGCGATCCGACAGGGGTTAATGCACTCCTAGAGCAAAGCATAACCTTAGCCGGAGCCCTCGAGAAGCGCGGGAATCTCGCTACTATGACAGACGGACGAAGGCCCCCGCAGCACCGTCGACGTATCACGAGATCGACAAACACGTGTAATCGAATCTCTCGGTGCTTTCTTTCAGAAATGCGCTGACTCGCATTTTGATTTTGCGTCGACTGCTAACGGTGACGGTAACTTGACGCGTTCGCGTTTTCATTAAAAAAAAAAAAAAAAAAAAAAATTTTTTTTATATTTGAAAATTTTTTTTTACGAAAAACAAGCTTTGTTTTTTCTCAAAAAAATTTTTTTTTTCTCTAATATTTAACATCTTTATATTTTGATTATTACAAGTTGATTTTTCATTATTTTTAATTGTACAATATATTCATATTTTTCAACTATATACAATTTTTAAGAATACGATTCTTTTAATACCTATTCTTATGTAACGTTTCCTTCTCTAGCAATAACATTAAAAGAAATGTAGTCTGTCAAACGTGTACTATATACGCAGGCAAGTAAATTGATTATACGATATTCGCGAAAAACCTCAAATGTAATCTCTATCATATGCAGATCATCCGAGGTAAACAAATGGGGGACGAGATTCGGAGAGCGAGGCATTTAGCCGCGTGTG